CAAGTCATTTCTTGTCCAGGCAATCCCGGTTCAATGCATTAGAAACATTTGCCAAGCGTGTGGGAGGAAATTAGTTTGTCATACTGGAGGCAGGCTGGATGGGGAGGCAGGGAGGGGAGAGATGGGTTTCCTTTTATATTTATGATAAATGGAGCTTTAAAACCAAAACCAGGTGTTGAAGGGTATTTTAAAATTTATGAACTTGTAAATCCACAAACATGCCAATTAACGTTTATCACTGTCAAGGATTAACTATCCCTGGGTATCATTTTAAGGGGTTATTTGAGTCTAGATTGTTTACTCCCAACCGTGTGACATTAAAAAAAAAACTGGGAGAGAGGAAGCAACTTGAAATATTTAAAAGGCAGCATATTTCAAGGCTGAAGTTACCGTTGGGGTGAGGTTCCTGTGTAGAGGCAAGTCTGCCCGAGCATCACTCAAGAGCAATCCGTCTTTCCACTTTAACAGATGTCTCGCATCATAAGAGTTGAAGCTTTGGCTACAAGGGATGCCAAGCAGAATTCCAGTGATGGGATAAAAAGGAGATATTATAACTCGGAAGAGTTCTAGCTCGGGGACTGGAGCACACGCTCTGGCGGCAGGTTCAGCCCTCAGCACCCCCCGTATGGGCAAGGAACTATCCCAGCCCGAAACCCTGGGGACCTCCACTGTTTTCTACCATAGGCAATATGGCGACAGAGACATCATCACTAAAAGCCCTCAGTGTGTAAGAAAAGGGAAAGGAAAACTGCCATCATCATCAACAACCACAACCACAACCACCACCACAGGATGTGTCTGGAATTTCAGCAGAAATTTCATTTCCTCGCCAATCCTGGAGGCCTTCGGAGACGAAAAAGGCATTTTGGTCAAATACTGCTGGGGGTGGGTATTGGGGCGCTGCAAAAAATGTGCCCGAGGAGCTACCTGTTGTTGACACACATACATATATACATACACCCCCCCCCCAAGATAGAGTCCTTGGGAGCAAAAGATCCTCCAGGCCCCCTTCCCTATTTGTCCGTGGCTGCCAAAAAAATGTGCCCGAGGAGCTACCTGTTGTTGACACACATACATATATACATACACCCCCCCCCCAAGATAGTCAGAGTCCTTGGGAGCAAAGGATCCTCCAGGCCCCCTTCCCTACTTGTCCGTGGCTGCCGCTTCCCATTCCAAAGTGAACCAGTTACCCTTGACTTTGCAAAGACAACTTAGGTCCTGGGTCATAAAGCGAATTCAATTAGCAAGCCTGCTGTTCTTCATAATCAACATCAGGTTGCTAATTAAAGCCCCAGCACCATACTGCACAAACATACCCGTGCATTACAGGGCTCCGCAGCAGCCGGGAACTGTGCCTTCAGCTAGCATGCATAAACAAACAGAATTAATAACTATCCAAGTGCGGACGGGTGACTTAATCGGTTTCGATTAGATGCAGCTCAGCCTGGGGCCTCTGTTATTTAAATGTGCTTCACAGTGTTTAATTAAAAAAAACCAACAAAATGGGGGTGGATTTTCAGTGCTTAGCTGTCTATCGCCCTCTTTTGTTAGCCCCTCATTGACTCTGCACGGACCCCACATAAAAGGAGCTTGGGGTCTGAAGGCCAGAGAGGGGCTGGAGAACATGTTTAAATGACTGATGTCTGGACACAGATATTAGGAGCACCATTCAGCATCCTATTATCTCAGCTTTTCGTTTTTCAAAAGAGCAACAACTACGTTTCCAGTCCTCATGGTGGGGGAAATCAGCTGGAAAATGTGCCATCCTGGAAGCCAGAGATTGGTTCAGCAGGATTTGTAGCTGTTGGGATATGGAGAGAGGCAGGCGGACTGCACATCTTTCTACTCACTACAAAGAGAAGCAAAATTATGAAAAATAATCTTCAACTGGGGGTCAAGGCAGTCTGGATTCCCACTCTGACCAGTCTCCTTCCCACAACACCCTTAAAGACAAACCAGGCTTTATTTGGCACCAGTGTTCGTGGGCCGCCACCCAGTTCTTCAGATATAATCATGTTTCAGCCCTTAAAGTCATACCCATCTATCCTTTCGTCCATCCATCATCCATCCAGGTTTGGCTGCCATCGATTTACCAACAAATAAAACCATTCATCCAACACCCCCTCCCCCCACAATTCTTGTCAGATCATTTTGTATGTTTTCTTAAACCACTAATTCATTAATCATGAACTAAAAGGTTTTTTAGATACCAGGGATGGGGAATTGTTACTTTTAGCTCTAGAATCTCCCAAAATCGTCAGCGCAGGTGCGGACAATACCCATATGTGTGCATTCACAGAGGCCACGATGAAGAACCACTGCTTTACTTTTAATAATCATACCATTCCCCTCTTCTGGGGGGGGGCGTGTCCCTGGGACGGCAAGCTTGCCCAAGGCCACACAGACTAGTTTTTTTTTCCAGGAGGCCTAGAGTGGGGGAATCCAACTCCCAACCTCTGGCTCCACAGCCAGAGACCTAAACCACTGAGCTCTCCAGCCAGCTACTTTTGGTGGGTCCCATTTGGTACCGAACTGGCTAGCAGGAAGGCACACAAATTGAGGACCTTAAGGGAAAGAATGCCCACAATGTTCAAAACCCTCCAGAACAACTTCCACCATCTAGTGGGTTTTTAAAATGGACTGTTTGGCTAAGGTTTTGTCCAGGTTCCTGTAACGAGCCCACCACCTAGCCAGCATAAGAGGCACACGCCAAGACATGCATGTAGCTTGTTAGTTCCTCTTTTTCTTTACAGAGCAGAATCTGGTCTGGAGACCTCAGTCAGAAGCAAATGCTGGGGAGGTGGGGACAGCCTGCAAAGTTTCTAGGGGCGGACCTCTAAAAGCTCCTCACAAGGAAGAAAACAGCTTGAGGTCCAGGGGTGGCCGCAGTGGATGCCTGCCAAATGCAGCTGGAAAGCCAAGGAGAGGGAAAACGAGGGATAGAAAAGGCAAGATGAGCTGAGATTGACAGCCGCGCACGAAGCTAACGATCACCATTCTGCGCACCCACAGCACGCTCTCTTAGGGAGCAAGGCTTCGGTTTTCATTAAGAACCCTCACTTTCCTTTCTGATTTGCAAGACTCCCTCCCGCCTCTTTTAAGGCCTGACTGGTGATCAAAGAGCTTGGGGTTGAAATATCAATGGCGCTTTCCATCTATAAAAGCAGCTGGAGGGTGGGGTGACGTGGAGGGAGCGAGGGAGGGAGGGAAGGGGAGAGCAAAGAGACTCTTCAGAACAGGATGGAAGGGTCTAACGTGGCAAGAATTTGTGGAGGAAAAACCAGGCGTCGTCCTTAACACAAGAAGAAACTCACAATGCACAGGTCAGGGGCCACCTTGATCACGAGCAGCAGCCTCTGATTAGAGGCATCTCAACTCCCGCCTCTGTATTTCCCTAAACGTATTACGCATGCCCAGTTCAGGATGGAATACGAGAATGAGGCAGGAGGAGTCTCAACTGCAAAGCCACTTTGGGGCGAGGGGTGTGATTCATCCCAAGTCGACAGGGCTGACTCTGTTGCCAGTTCACTGAGAACTCTCTCCAGCAGGATGGCTGGAAGCACCCAAGAGATTCCACGCTGTCCCTTCTGTTCACCGCCCACAAAGGAGGGAGGAGGCTGAGGCTACACTCATTTATAACCGGGGCAAATGCCATCAGCTCCATTTTATTCGGCTGCAGCTTGTCTTCCTAGACAAACAAACTTTATGCCAACAGCTAGAGAAGGGAAGTTCAGCTCCCAGAAGTTTGAGTCCTTGTTCAGAGGACTCGGGAAAGGAATGTGGCCCTGCTTATTGGGGTATGCTGGAACGTCTGGTCCAGAAAACGTTGAGTTTCTCAAGCTCTACTTGTTCCTTTACTCAGTAGTTTACTGGATCTCCCTACTGGGCAATGCAAAAATCTTCAAGCATCCTTGCCGCCTGGCTTTCTTCATCTCGTCCTCTTGTTACACTGTGCAAGCTTCTTTCTAAGGGAATGAACAGCTTAGCTGGCCCGTGGATGGATTTTCTCCTCTGAGCCCCGGAAATAGATTTTCCAGCTCTCAGAGGCCTACAGGAGGAAGGATGAGGTGCACCTCACAAGAGCTATCACCCACCACCATCAAAACACATAGCCATTGTGTGTGCATGTGTGCACGCACATGCGTGCACATGGAGTTCTTTACAGCCCTTTTGGACATTTCCAGGGCTTCTCCTTGCAGCCTGAAGGAGGTGCTGAGGAGCCTAAGGCCCTAAGGCCTGTCGCCAAAGATGCTGATCCCTATCTCCGGCCTATTACTTTGTGCCCCCAAACTGCAGCTCTTCACTCCCCTCCCTGGATCTCCACAAGGTAGCTTGTCCCCCACCCCCTCTTGACTTTCCCCAAGGCTCATGCTAAAGCTGCAACCCCTTTCTTCCCCCCCCCACGCAAAAGCAACAGGGACCCTGGCCCCTCCGTTTCATGCATGGACACAGCACACCCTGGGCGCTCCCTTCCACCCGCCCAGAAATGCCACCAAAGAGCTGACTGCCCATTCCATCTTTATCTGCATCGAAGCAGCCCTTGGCACCTTCCTTCCTCAAGCCAACTGGGGCGAAAGGAAGGAAGAAAACAATACGGATTGAAATCACCCAATAGCAAGCTTTGCAGGCAGCTGGTTAGGGTAACCTGGGGGGGAAAGTGAAGCAAGATAGGCCAAGAGGAGGCCCAAGGCAGTTCACAGAACTCTTGTGAGCCTCAGGGCTTTGCCGCTGGAAAATCTGTTCTACAGAAAAAGAGGCTCCAACATGAGTCCTTCCGCATAATACGGCAGCAGGCCAGCCATTTCCCATTAGCTAATTAGGCCTGAGCTGTTACCCTGCTGATCTAGTGGCTGTCAATTGGCACAGAGTGGGGCACCGTTCCTCCACCTACAACCCCAAGCAGATGCAGAGGTGGGAAGAGATGCAGCCGAACTGGAGGGGGCAACAAGGCACAACCCCCCCCCGCCACAACCCCTCCTCCCTTGCAAACTCCTCACCACTTCGTCTTCCGTCCAGCACTTCTCGATGAGTTTGGGCACGGGCTTCTTTACGAGGCGCTGGAGGGCTTTGCCAGCATCGTAGTTGGTCTCGTGTAGCTGAAAGAAAGAAAAACGGAACAGATCCATTACTAGAAACCAAGGGAGAAAAACTGGAATAAGAAAAAGGAGGCTCCCCTGGGTTGTTTTCCCCCCTCCCCTGAAGCCTTTTCCAAGAGAGATCCAGAGCCAAGGCGGATATTTAAAACTCTACCCTGCGGCATTTTCCAATATCATTTCAAAAAGAAAAGGGGGGTGGGGGGAGAGAGAGAAAACATCAGAAAGGAAACTGTATTAAAACAAACATTCTTCAAAACCTGCTGGTTCCTTTGCAGTCCTCTCTTGTTCAAAGTTAGCAGGTTGACTGGAAAAACCTAGTCCTTTTTCTTCTTTTTTTTCTTTTTCTTTTTGGGGCATGTTATACACGAAGGCTTGCATAGGTTCCAGGTCTTTTAAGAACACATAACTAAGGAAGTGGGAGTCTGGTGCAATATCCTCCAACCAAAAAGGGATTTACAGGTGCCTCTGCACCACTGTATAGGAAGGAAAGTGGGGGTGGGGACACACGCCAGACGTACATGAACGGCTGGCAGGCTCCAAATGCTGTTCTCTCTCTCTCTCTCTGTAAATGTGTGTGTGTGTTTGGAGAGAGAGAAAAAGAGAAAGAGAGACTTCTTTTTTATTATTTTAATTTATATACCATCCCATTCGTTCAAATAAACTACAACAAAGCACCGAACAGTAAATTACCACACATATAACGAGGCATAATCTAAAAACTTAAAAACCAAAGGCACAAACCAATTCTCAGACTGAAGCTGAGCAGGAGGCGAAGTATTCAACCGGGGTCAGCATAAAAGGCATCTCTGAAAAGGGGTGCTTTTAACAGCCTCCTAAGTGAGCACGGGGCGGTGGGGGGAAAAGGCATAGATCGCTCCGTGGGAGTGGAATCTCTAACCTTGGTGCCACCACTGAGAAGATCCTACCTCTTGTAGATGACTCCTGGGCCTCTCTCCAGGTGGTTACATTGGAGGAGTCTGACCTGAGAGGATCTGGTGGGTCAGGAAGGTGAGACTGGGGAAAGATATCTGGACAGGTAACAAGGTCCCATCCCAAAGGGTACGGAGGGAAGCAGTGGGCCCTCTGATCCCTTCTAAAAATTCCAGGGCAGGACACATGACAGTTCTGTCAGCATCCGTGTGGGGCTGGGCTGCAACATCTCAACCTAATGCTTGCTCCCCACATCTTGGATTAATCAGAATTGCTACTGAGGAAGAAGGTGTGAATTCCTAGCAGGACTGTTTCTGGAGGGAGAGAGAGGGAGAGAGAGAGAGAGAGAGAGAGAAATCCAAAGGACTGGTTGAAATCAGGATCTTTTTTCGCTCAGCGTGGTGCTCCGCTCCTTGCTTCTTCTTCATGACTCATGGAAGAAATCTATTTTTGACCAAAGGAGTGGAACAGAACAATTTCCTCCCTTTCCTTTTACCAAAGGAGCTTCAGAAACTGGAAGGAGAACAAGGACTGAAGGATGAAGGAGGCCAATCACAACAGGCGAACAGTCGGGAACTCCAGCCGGAAATGCTGGTGGATGGGCTCGTAGCATCTCTGTCAATCCAAGAGGAGGACCTTTTCTTTATTATACACCCCCACCCCCACGTCCATCTGGAGTCTGAGTGGGCTCTCTGACTTCCTTCACAGGTGTGTTCTGAAATGGGTTTAATTCTTCTGCTCATGTTCTGCTGTGATTGTGTTTTTTATATTTAACGACAAGGCTTGCTCACCATCTTGTCAAGATACTTATAAATAAGTAATCGTGTGCCATCAAGTCAATTCCATCTTAACCTTTCTCAGGATTTCCCAGGTAGAGAAGACTCAGAAGTGGTTTCCCCTTCCTTTCTTCTGGGGTATCCCTGGGGACTGTGCAGCTGGCCCAAGGCCACCCAGCCTGGCCTTTCTCTTAGGAGCCCCAGTCGGGGAATCAAACTCCCACCCTCTGGCTCCACAGCCAGGGATCTAATTCAATGAGCTCTCCAGCCAGTCAGATATTTACACACATGCAAAAAGAACCCCTGTGGCTAATTGATGCACGCGGCCAAGCCACTCTCAGATGTGGGATCAGGCATAAGGCTGGCACTTTGTGCCTTAGTCATAAGCCAGTTCCAATAAGGGGCTTGTGCACATGTAATTGCCCAAAAGGATACTGGCTCTTGGAAGCCCATTCTTAGAAGAAAAGCAGGAGACAACTTTTTAATCAATGACTCCCAGACTGTCTGGTCACTAGCCAACGATGACCAAAGTGTTCTAGGAGTGGTCATCCAGAAAAATGGAATTCCCCCCCTCCAAGCTCTGCTCTTGCCCAAAAGAGAAGAAGGGAGAAAAAAAATCTCAGTATATGCATTTTAACTCTGTCTTTCCTGGTATAACCCACCAAGGAAAGCTTAGGAAAAAGACCTCTAGTCCTGTTCCCCTCCTTCATTTTATACTCTTGGAGACTTTATAAACAGGTCTAAATCTCAAACAGGGCTTGTTAGCAGAAGCTGTGCTACGCGAGTGCAAGGTAAGGGTGGGCTTTTCGGGGCATAGGTGGGTGGGATGCATTCTGGACACCTGCTTTGTAACCGAGCTGCCATGTTCTGCCTGCCGTAACCACTGCAAATAAATCCTCCATTTGGCATGGCTCAGCTGTCAGGCACCTCTGTTCAGTAATGAATCCATGAATTACGTCTCGCCGCTCTGACATCTCCGGGTCCTGCACATCAAAATATTGTTCTTCTGTTGTAATTTATAACTTAATTTAAACGTCCCTTTTCCTGTGACCTTTCCTACATCAGAACGGCATCACATCTGGCAGCTCCGGCTTCACTAAGGCACTCTCCTGCAATTACAGTCATTATGAGCCCTGCCTGAAAGCCATCACAGGCGTTTGGGGCTGGATTCCTGCCACCATATTAAATAATTGGAGTCCATTAAGGACAGGACTAGATTTCAGAACGATATTCTCTTGCGGCAGGGTGGGTGGATGGGGAGGTGTGCAGAGGGAAGGGGGGGATTTGTTTTGCTATCTTAACAGGAGGGGAAAAAAACTGCCAGGCTAACTGATATCCTTCCTACAAAAAGCCAAATAGAAAAAGAGACCAAGAACCCTCTGAATAAAGTAGCAAGTTCACATAACACTTGCTAGCTGGCTTTGATTTAACCAGAGTTCCTGTACAAGGGGCAGCTTGTAAAAAGAGGTGGAGCCTCTAGCCCTCCAGGCAGTTGTAATGTCCAGCTTTCAACAGCTCTTGCTGGTTGAAGCCAAGTTAGGAACATATGGAATTGGAAGAATCAGGAGGAAGGAGGAGGAGGAAGAGGAGGCCAGAAGACCGACTGTATTTCTGCGAAGTGTTGAACACAATCAATATTCCAAGTTCTTTGAGAAGTTGTTCGCTCTATGTTCTTTCTTTTCTTTTGAGCATCCTCTTTTGTTGGTTTTGATTCTTCCCGTAAGGTGGCGATTTCTATCCTGGCCCCTTCTGGGGTTTTTTAGACAACTGCTATGGATGATTGCTGGCCAAAAGCAATGGCCAAGGGAAGTCAAAGCCCAGCATCATCACCTGAAGGGCACCAGGCTAGAAAAAGCAGCTATAGGGCTTCTGGCATTTGCTGAGCAGATAGAAAGGACTCCCAAAACATTCCCGCACACGTAGCTCATTTATAGCTATGGCCAGGCTACTGTTTTTTCAGGTGCAAACCTCGAGTGCGGAGCATTCTTCTTCAGGTTTAAAACTCTGTTGCAATTTGGAGCCTACCACAGAGTGGAAAAGATGACATTTGAAGTACAAATATGAAGTAAAATTACAAAGTAAAATTAGACAGAGCTAGGGCGCTTGCAGCTTGTGAATTTTAATTAAGGAAGTGATATACAGGGCTCTCGGATATTAGGGAGGAAAGGAGTCATCCTATTAAGAAGGAAAGGAAAGGGCTGTGCTTTTTTTAAAGCTTACTTTTGTGGGGGGTAAGGAGAAATAAATCCACATGCATTTGAGCTGAACCCTCTGAACGCTGAAGGATAATTTTGTGAAAATCTCTGCTCTTACCAAGACATCTGCATGTGTTCTGGTGTTCCCGTTAATCTGTTCTTTTATGCCTACTGATCTGCAAGCTATTAAACACAGGCTCCGTGTCAATTCAGCCTTTGACGCGCTTTGAGGAGCATCTTAATACTCTCTTTCTCCCTGTTTGTACTTTGAAAAAAGGACGAGGCAGGAGCACGTGGGCGAGCTGATGAGGGGATCTGGGTAACTTGCAGCTGTCCTTATGTTACCTTAATTGGGAACGGCGGGGAGTGGGTGGGTGGGTGGTGATGGCGCTCCAGGGAAGATGCCTATCCTCAGCAAAGCAACCACGACGCAGCGGGAGAAAGGAGCGTTTTCATGCAGAAAGACCCACACGGAAACCCCAGCTTCCTCCATTAAAAGGGTGGGATAGCAAAGGACAGGCATAACTCCCATAGGAAACCTTGGAGAGCTAAGGCCAGTCGGAATAAACCAGGGGTGGGCAGCCTTGGGAGGCCCCATGGGCACCCCCCCAGGCTTCTTTGGGACTTCCAGGGCCACACTACATTCTTCTGCTCCTTACCCAAACAAAACCCAAACCAAGGTAAATGGACTCTCCTCAACGCCTCCTTGGGGGCAAGGGCCTCTCACAGCGCTCGACAGAACAATGTGCCAAAATCGGATGTCGAGTTCTAGGGACGTCTGATTGCAAGGAGTCCTGTTGTTTGTTTGCCTCCATCGTTTGGCCATCTGTGCAGCCCCTTGGAGCGTCCCAGAAGATCTGGCCCCCACATCCAATAACCTTGCCCATCCCTGGAACAGACAGGAACAGAGGTAGGGGGAGAGGTCATGGGGCCTGGCCTAAGGCACAGCCCTGGCTCCACTTCCAAAGCTTTTCTGAAGACCCCGACTCAGGGGTTGGGGTGGAGTTATTCTACCCAGACTTGGAATGTGCTATTTGAGCTCAGTCAGGGCTTGAACTGCAGGACACCCAGGCAGAAAAAGCCAGTGCCTTCGCATTTGTGCCTGGCCTGCACGAATCACCATGCTTCGTGTGGTTTGTTAATTACAAAGACTGTTGTGAATCACCTTTCCTTCCGGCGCCTAAAAGCGGGTGCTAGAAACACAAGCCTCACAACAGCTCGTAGGGATGGATCTCAGCCTCCGCTGAGGTTGCTGTCTTGAGACCTGACCTCTCTGCTCTCGTCCAAGCCAATCTAGACATGCCCACATTCAGAACCTCGGAGTTTGAGGAGATGCCCGGCCATTCTCGGGGTGGGGATGGGGAGTGAGAAGAGAATGTGGCCAAGATGATAAAGGGGCCAGAAACCAAACTCTACGGAGAATAGATGAGGGAGCTGGGTGTGGTTAGCCCAAGGGAAGTTTAAGAGGTGATATAACCATCCTTGTCAAATATTTAAAGGGACTTATTTCCGAAAGAGGGTATAAGCTGCACCTCCAGAGAGGCAGGACCATAGGAACCTCCTGACAGGGTTTTCCTGATGTTGTATCCTTTATGAATCTGTAAGTTCAGGTCTTAATCTCAGGAGTCACCAAGAACAAGGTGGCAGTAGAACTGGCTGAAATTGGAATGAAACACCCTGGAGGTGTCTAGACAAAAGCTGGACAGTCATCTGTCAGGCAGGGTTTGACCATGGGCTTCTTTCTTCGGGAAATTGTTCATCTGGGTTCTTTCCAGCTCTACCATCTAACAGTACTGAAATGTTTTCTAAACATTTGAGTGGTTTCAGATTCCTTTAACATGAATTTACTGATCATTTACTGATCATTATAAATCTAGATAGACCGATCGATAAATCGACAGATAGACAAGCAATTCGCACAAATGGCAACTGCTATGCAGGGAGTATTGCCAAGAAAAAGGGATCAACCATTTCCAAAAGTATCATTTCCCATCCTACTTGATTTGCTGAGAAAAGCATTAAAATGCACATTAAAAAAGACACACAAAAACATCACATCAAAACCCGAGCCAGAACAACAGGCAACAGCAACAACAAACTGAACATGTTATCCATCCTACCAAGCAAATAATCAGTGGAAGGAGTTGTTCGACTAGATAATATAAATGCCGCACAGCAAAAACTTCCCCTGCTCTTCATTTCTATCGGGTGTAATTAACAATAAATCATACTGAGGGTTACAGCACCCTGTTATTACATAAATAAAACACTAGCAAAGAAGCTTGTCAGGACTGATTTATGTGAAGTGCTGCTCTGAAGTTTATTGCATTTCCATAATAAGAAATCATAGAGCATATCAATTTTTTACCGTTAATCTTTTTAGACTCCATATTATCATCTCCAAACACATACACATACGCCCCTTAGTGCAACAGGGGCCACCTGAGAGTGGCTGAAAGGGTGAATCTATCTATCTATCTATCTATCTATCTATCTATCTATCTATCTATCTATCTATCTATCTATCTATCTATCTATCTATCTATCTATCTATCTATCTATCTATCTATCAGATTTTTTTAGCCACGCCATTACCTGAGTGGGGTACAAAGATATTAAAAAACATTAAAACCATTAAAAATAGGCAATATTATAATAATATCCTATATTTAAAACAATCATTAGAAAATTAATATTAATAAATCCTGTTCCTCACCCTGTAGGTGAGAAATGAAGGGGGAAAGGGCAGAAAAGATTTCTCTTGTTATTATCTGGTGGTGGAAAACCCAACACTTTGACAACAAAGGGCCAAAAAGAGTAACACAATGTGGATGGGATGGGAAGGCAATAGCTAGGAAATTATTTTGGATTTGCAGAAGGTGATCCATATAAATAGTGGGAGACTTACTGTGTTGAGGGCATTGAGGGTAGTGTCGTCCCGGGAAGCTGCAACACACCCGTCTTCAGTGGATCCTCCATCGCACATCCCAGCAAAGGCTGCCATACTCCTTTGGGGGAGGGGGGGAGGGAAAGAAGTTCCTTACCATTTTTTTAAATGACCAAGGCCACAACACACAAAATGCACCTCCCCACTATGAACGGGAGGGATTCCTTTCTCCAGGACCTGCGCCGAAGTGGAGGCGGGATTACCTCTCCCCAAACAGAAGTCTCGGAATGAGCTCTTGGGGGTCCAGAAAGGTGGGCCTCCATCTCCGAACAGGTATCACAACCGGAAGGCTACAGGGAAGATGAGTATGCTTTAGCGCCGCCTTACCGGGCTGCCCTCAGGTACATGAGCAGGTCGCAGTCATTGACCCCAGGCATCCAGACCAGCTCCTCGTGCTGTGTCACCGTGTCTCCATCTCCGGAAGGGAAAGGCTGCAGCTCCGGAAGTTTTGCCTAGAAACAGGAGGATGTTAATGAACATGTACAGAGAGACTCTTGGCTGTTGTGTTTGAGTTGGGCCAAGCAACTCCTGCACACAGGAAATCAAGACCCTCATGGGAATCACAGTCTATTCCAGTGTGAGCATGTGCTCTACTATGAAGGAACATGGTGTTATGCTGCAAGATCAAATTAATAACTTTAATCATCCTCCAAAACAGGCTGAGATAGCAAACAGCTTTTCAAGCCTGTAACTCTCTTACACAATTAAAAGGCAAAGCACATTTGAAAGGCTGTATTGTGCGCGCATGCACAGGCACACAACCAGGAATTATA